GGCATTAGGAAGGTTGAGAACCGCTGCTCTAATTAATTAAATCAAATGCATAAGGCTGGGATTTTTTAATAAGGTTATTTTATACAAAAATAGTTAACCCTACTAATATAAATAAAACCAAGTGCTTAGTTCTGAAAAGGGGTTCAGGAGTCCCCATGGTGTAACAGAAAAAACACAGAGCTTAAATTAGAGAAAAACTTAAATCCAAATAGCAACTCTCACTACCTGCTAACTACATGACATTAGAAAAGTAATTTACATTCACTAATCCTGTCTTCTCACTTGTAAAATAAGGTAAAAATAGCTGTCAAAAGATTAAGGTAAATAAAAAGCCTGGCCAGCAGGTCCTCCATGGTGGATCTTTCCCTTCTATGCTTAAAAATAAAATTTCTTAACTGTTTTACAATAAGGCTGGAAAGTTCATTAGATACAACATAAATGCAATTCAAAAATCAATGTTTCAACATAAAATTGTCAGGCAGGAAAGGAAAAAAGAAAGACATTTAGGAAAGTCTAAGTAAGACTAAAATTTTTTTTTTTTTTTTAGTAACAAGGTATTGTGAATGTTTCTATCTTTGGAGATGACTAGAGGAATAACACTATTAAATATTATGTACAGAATTCATGTACAAAACATAAACTTGCCCCCCACGCACTCAGCCCTTGCCCCTCTGCTCTCAAACAAGATCAGCTTATCTATATTTATTGGTAGAATGTGGCCACAGGATGAATAAAATATGCTTCTCATCCACTACTCCAACAAAATAATTATGCTTACATTTTAAGATTGCTAAGAAGTTTAAGTTAAAGAGGGAAATTCCTTCGTCCATTCTAGTTCTGAATGTATCCAAGAGCTCTACAATAAGGCTATATTAACCTGTGCTATCATAATCAATGAAAAGAATTTACTAATGCAGTATTTATCAGGAAAAAAAGAAAACCATAAAGGGGAAAAAGGAACTTTGGAGTGCAAAGTTCTTTAACCAAGATACATTATAAAAGTACATAAGGAATTCCTTTATTTGGCGTGAATGTTGAAGAAATTTGAGTGAAAAAACACAAAAAATAAGATAATGTTAACTTTGCGAGTAATAAGATAATCTTAACTTTGCGAGTGTTACAATGTGTTTAAAAATGCTTTCTAAAACAATGTTTTTCCTCACCACTAGTAGCAGTTCTGTAATTTACTTCTTAAGCAACCAGCTCTATCAATGAGAATCTCTATGGCAAAATTTTATTCTACAGTACTATTTTAATACAGACCAAAAAAGTATTACGTAGATAGGGTATCATATAAAAGAAGTATTTCTTTCTAAATTCTTTTCAAAAGGAGTTATTTTATGATCTTAGCTTAGGTGATTCTTCATCTTATATTGAGATAAAGGATTTTTACTGAAGGATCTTTAAGTCCTGGGGTTAAGCTTCAAGTTTCCTAACTCTCACAGCTTTTCTTACCTAAGACCACCAAGTTCCATAAATAGCCACTTTTTTTCTGTCACCTCTGCCTAACTTATAAAATGAAATGGAATGAGCAACCTAAGGTTATAATTTTTCACTTACATTAAGTGGGTAACTGCAATTAGAGACCTAAGACATGAATGCATCTCTAAATCGCAAAGGCACACACAAATTATAGGTGCACAATTTGCATCTGGGGACCACCGTATCCTGGAACATAAAACTCCCTATTAAGGCCTTACTTAGAGATGCTTACCCCAGGCCCAACTCAATGAGCTATCCTCTATGTGCTGTAATGAAGCTGATGGAATAACATTCCAGGAAATGCAACAGAAAGACCAAAAAGCCTTGCAGGCCAAAATAAGTGGATCTCTAAGGATGGAATTTGAGATTGTGATAGATGGCAAAAGAGTGATGGGCAATGGGGAATCCTAATTAGTTCCATTCAAATCATAATGAGTGTCCTCCTTATAAGGTAAAACTAATACAATAATGTAAAATGTAATAATGTAGTACTAACTGAAATATTACAACAAAAATATCCTAAGTATTGAACCCCTCTCCCTACACCTCCTGGTCACTCAGTAGGTGTTTTAAATTCAAGGTTGTCCTATCAGAAGGAGGTCAATTAAGGACAGTTAACTACAATGAAATACCTAGTATACTAATTCAAAAATAACCAAAATTGTATTTCCAAACAGGGAAAAGTGAAGAAAAAGTAACATCTTACATAAGATGTTACCATGCAATTAGGATAACAATTATCTACACTAATTTTATTGACAATCCAGTAACTTCTAAAGCATAAATATTAACTGTGTAGCAGTATTTTTCACTTTTAACAAAATACACTTGAAAATTCTTTCTCAGTCAGGCCAAATCTAATTTTAAAAGTGATCCTAACCATAAAACTATTCACCAATTAAACTAAAAAGGAAAAAAAAAATACTGGTTTAGGGAAGTGAGACTGTATTAAGAAAAAAATAAGCTATCAAAAAAATGCATAGACGTTCCCAGGGCTAAACTAGGCTAATGTTTCCCAAGGGAAAATATTAATAAATAGGTTATTTCCCTATGCATGGCTGGGATTTTAGAAACTGCCACACTAGCATGAAACTTTACAGAGAGCAAATAGGGTGAGGAGCATACCATCCTTTAAGGAAGAGTAGTTTGCTGAATAATAAATGGGAGGAAGGAGGCTGGCAATCCACCTCTCACAACCCTCCCCTCCCCAAATTGGAGTATTTTGGAAATTAAGAGATGTAATAATAAATCAGCACAGGACACACACACACAAAGAAAACATCTCCAATATTGTAAAATAAAGCAGTCATTCTAGAAAATAGTCTTTTCTATGTAAGTACAAAGTAGAGTATAACTCTCTAAAATGCCCATTAATACAAAAAGAACGACCTCTTTAACGCCATCCTATATTTTAGTCAACTACAGTACAGATCTATAATAAGTCCTTGAAAAGCAAGCTCTACCCTTTATAACTCTATACCTTCCTCTTCGCTTTATGATACCGTCACAGAAGGAACTTATTTTCCTGGGTGCTTCCCTTCCTTCCTCCCGTAGAACCCAAATAAATTTTTTAGGTTCACATAAATTGATACCTAGCACCAGTAACTCAGTCTACTTAAAATCGGTTTAATTTTCAAAGTTCTAATAAGATGCATTCAGGTTGGAAACGAAAAACTACCTTATAAGGGTATAAAAGACTGAAAGCAGGAAGCAGCTTTGACAAAACTAAGGAAGTTGCACCGCGCTTGCTCACTGGGGGACTTTTTTAAAGCAAGAGAAGGAACACATTACATCTTTTTCTCTTGAATTAAAATGTGACTTGGTTCACCGGTTAAAACGCAGTGGGAAATGGAAAAGACCGGGAGTTCAAAAGGAGGAGGTGGGTGGTCAAATGAAAGCCCTGATTTAGGTTCCTATTCTCAGAGTCCGATTCATCCCATTCCCCCACCCACATCCTAGGCAGGGTTGTCACAGCAATCTTGCAAAACCTACAAGGAGCGCTTGCTTCTCTTTTCTCGCTCCTTCGCCAGGCAAGTCCCCGCGCTCAATCCCCAAACCCACCGGCAGGAAGGGGTGCGGGAGGAAAGGAGTGCCGGGTGCCCCGGGCTCGGCGACCACCCCCCACCGCGTCCGCGCGCCCCGGGGAGGTGACCGTCCCCGCATCTCCTTGGGCGGCGCTGCCCACCGCGGTGGGGGAAGGGCCGGGAGGGGGAGCGCGGAGAAATCCACTCACGGGTTTCTCGGCCTCGCGCCCCGGTCCCAGAGGGTGAAACTAGGGGACAAGGGAGGCCCTGCCTCTCCGGGCCCCACCCCTCGCAACACAGCGAGGCTAGGACTGACACCGCCGGCGACGGCACCTTGCCGCACCATTCATCTCCCGACCTCCGACCTCCCCCGCCATTTTCCTACCTCAGCCTCAGTTTCCCCATCCCCGGCCGTCAGTCCCCTTACCCGGTGCCACAGTCCACCACACAGGCCGGCAGCCGTCCCGCCATCTTCCTCCTCTCCTGCTGCTGCCGCTGCCGCCGTCTGCTCCGTACCGGTTGTGGCCAGGGATTGGCGGCAGGAGATAGGAGCTATCTCACCATCCACAGCCGGGCCGCTCTCTCCGTCCGGGGGGTAGCCGGGAAGCCGAAGCAGTAGCGAGAAAGCAGCAGGCTCGGTCAGCCGCTACCACTTCCGCAGGCGGGCAGGCAGTCCCCGCCCTGCCCCGCCGCGGCCTCCTCCCCCTCTTTCTCCCCACCTCCTCACTCCTGCCCCCACCCTACAACTTCTTCCCCCTCACGCCGCCTTTCCCCGGGAAGTCAAGATGGCCGCCGGTGCCGACGCCCTGGCCAGGCTAGGCCCAGGCAGCAAGCGCTCCCCCTTCCGGCTCCGAGCGGGAGGGGCGAGAGCGCATGCGCAATGAGGTGCTGTCGCCAGCGGCGGCTCCCATCCCTACGTTAATGAAATCCACTTCGGGTTTTCCTAGAGTGTAGGGGCGGAGAAGTCATCCCCAGTCTCCAATTCTTCGGAAGCTGAAAGGGGCTTTTAGTTTCAATTACTTTTATGCTAGGTTACAGAAGGATGGAACCGCATCCCGCAGCCACGAATATCTCCCGTGCTCCGGGGAAAACGGCCTAATTGAAAACGTTGTCAGCAGCACACAACCCTTCTTACAGCTTGAGTGGCTGCTTTTCTGGGTGGAAAAGAGCGATATCAGACCGATGGTGAGCAATCGGGGGACGGATAAACAAAGGTTTGCACCGCGGCTCTTCTGCCTTTATGCCGAAGTTTTATTCGTTTACACTTGTGCATTGTTACAACATTGCACATTACAATTGTTATAACATGTTTAAATTGTAGGCCCCTGCAGAGAGCAGGCCTGTGCCTACGAGGAAGGCAAACCTCCCAGGAATATATATTCTACGTAATATACTCTACACAAATAGGCCTATATTCAAGACTTTTGGATGATGACAAAAATTTCCCTCTGGAGTAGTTTAAGATAATACTATTCTACTAGCAGAATTATACCAAGGATTCAGATCCAAAGAAATTAATTAAAAGAAAAATATTAAAAACTGGAAAGCCTAGAACAATGGTTTTCAAACTTAAGTGTTTATCAGAATTACCTGGAAGGCTTGTTAAAACACAGATTGCTGGGCCACACCCCCAGAGTTCTCTGATTATGTGGTCTGTAGAGGGGCCTGGTTATTTGCATTTCTGCCAAGTTTCCAGGAATGATGGTCTGGGAACTAGAAGGCTAATAGCTTTCCTCTCCTCTAGGCTTATTATCTTCTGATAAACCATGTGGATTTACATATATGAGGATGAAATAAAAATATTTTTTTACTAAGAAAGGGGTCTAATTCCAGAAGATCACACATAGTGTGGTGTTAGACAGGCCTGGGGGTGGAATGTGGGTTTTTCATTCCTTTGATAGAAAAGTATTGCTCACCTAATTCTATTGGGATGTTGGAAAAGTTGTGACATTTTTTTATGTTTTTTGTTGCAAAAATGCGTCATGACTTCTGACAACCCAATAGTACAATGACACTGTTTTGACACTGAATATTCAGAAAGCACAAAATGTTAAGTTCTCGACTCTCATAGAGTACAGTTTAATGAGGAAACATACAAATTGTGTTAAAAAATAATAGCAGCGAGCAGGGGCCTATCAGAAATGGGGATGATAGGTGGGAGAATGGGAGGGAAATGGAAGACTGAGAAGGCTTCTCTGACAAAGCAGCATTTAAAAGCTTAGGGCTGAAAGGTAGTAGGAGTTAGGGGAAGGGGTCAGGAAAAAGGGGAGCCCTCCAGAAAGAAGGAACAGCAAGCATCAAGGCCCTGAGGTGGGAAAGAGTTTGGCTTCTTCCACAAATTGAAAGAAGACCCAAGGGGTCAAAGTGAAGTGAGCTAGGGAAGATGCAAAGGAAAGTGAAGTCTGAGAAATAAGGAAAAAGCAAACAATGGAAGGATTTGTATATAGAGTTCTCTAAGCAGCTTGAAGTTTAGCTTAAAAGCAACTTGGAAGCCATCAAAGAGATTTAAGCAAAGAAATGTTATAGGGAATGGATCCCACATAATAAAGAGTGAAGTGAATCATCTTCTGTCCTACAGTGCGTGCTTTGAGGGATAGAAATATGTGAGGAGTAGCATCCAGATGGGATCAGCTATGTGCAGAAGAGACTCACTTAGGGGAGTTATCATCAATTAGAGTCCAGCATATCCACAGCTACTCACAGCAAATAAATAAAGAAATAATCCTGGGGGAAAACTTTCCTCAGAGATTGTCTTCCAAGAAGTCAAACACAAGTGGTTCTTTTTTCAGATGCATAGTTGTTTTTTTCCCTACAGTTTAGAAGATGCTAAGTGGAGATTCTTTGCTGTCTTTTCCACCATCAGGGATTTTAGATCATTTGGGAGAGGGGATGCCTGAAGATTGACTCTGAAGGAAGAGAGAGATGTGGCTTGGTTGGGGTAGAGTAAATGGTTGTTTCCACCATTACAGGTGTAAGTCGGGAAAAAAGAGATCCTACCAAGAGGGTCCCAAGGACAGAAGTTAGGAACTTAAACAGGTCACTCTGGGAAGCCCACACTGGTAGATTCTCAAGATGGCTGCCTACATGCTACCTTGGGTGGGTTGTCATGTCAAGTTATGTCAAGGGTCAGAAACGACTGCTCCCAGGGTCCAGGCAGGTGATGTTATGAGTAAAGTGGGCCGTGAGGAGAGAATGGCAATGTGGAGAGCCCACATCCTGACAGAAGACAGTAGAAAACTGTTGCCATACAGAACGCAGGCCCCGTGTTGCCAGAGCCTCCCTTTTCTCAAGAAAAGCAGGAAATCTGTATTTTTCTCTGTTGGTCACAAATTTCTCTGCAGGCTAGATTTGACATGTGGGCTATAAGTTTTCAGCTTGTGATTTGAGAGGCCGTTTAACATTTACTTGTACACCGCATTAAAATATGAAGCTCATGTTGGTGCTATGTACTGTATCTCATTGTGTAGGCATGAGGAAACACTCTACCATAGTCACCTTCACATAGTCAAGAATGTCCTCTTGTCTGTAAAGGCTTTGACTGTTAGAAGTGTTTGGCAGCTTCCAACACTTGTTAGAAGTGTCTTTTGTGCTTGTTCCTCATAATTTGTCTACCCGAACACTTTGCTTGCCTAAGACCCCTTCCACTTCCTGCTTGCTACATGCCAAAGTGGTCAGTCTCTGTAGTGCTGTGGTGGCTCAGACTTCCTCAGCTGTGTGGAGCCATCAGATGCACAAACGGTCAAAGCATTTCTGACCTCCCTGTTTGCATATGTCTCCTTCCTGCTCACCCTTCTCCAGATACAGAGAAGCAAAGAATGTCAGAGCTAGACCGCCTCTTAGAGATTATCTTGTTAGGTATGAAAGGAAAGCAATGGTGGGTGGGCAGGGTTTGCTTGACTACCCTGCATTCATTACTCCCTAATTGAACCCTGATTTCCTTTTAGCTCAGGTCAACCAGGTGCTTGGTTATCGGTTTCCAAGCCTGGTCCCCAACCTTTCAAGCATTTGTGAGCCTTGCAAATATTCTTTCAATAAGTCCCCTTTTTCTTAAGTTAGTAGTAATCAGTTTCCATTACTTGGAGAAATTTGAGAACTCTAAAGGATATAGAAGCCCAAAGTTTACATGATTTTTCCAATATCTTAGGGAAGCTAGGGAAGATTCCAGACCAAAACCCGGTTCTGACCTCTTTTCAGGGCTCTGTAGCTGCAATGCCACAAATTTTGTTTAATTTTGACTGATAAACTGATTACCAGTTACCATGAGATTTCCTAGGGTATTCCAATGCTTTGCAGCCAACTTAGCCAATGTCTCTGGGTCTTAAAGTGTCCAAAAAATTCACATGTCACTCAGTCTCCATTTTAAAATGGCAAATATGATTTTTTTAAAAAATCAGCTTAGGTACTTGCTGCGAATTCACATGTCACCCAGTCTCCATTTTAAAATGGCAAATATGATTCTTTTAAAAAATCAACTTAGGTACTTGCTGCAGGGAAGACTATTTGCAAATTGGCAGACCAATCAAATCCACAAAGAGCATTGATTAAGGGCAGATGGATAAATGGTCCATGCAGCCTAGTGGTCAGGGGGTGGTTGTGAACCCTGGCTTCTCTCTTCTCAAGTTGTGTAATCTTATACAACTAACTTAGTGTATAAAGAGAGCACAGAACTTAGAATCAAGAGACTCAAGTTAAGTATGGGTTCTTTAATCTGTTTCTTCATCTACAAAATTGACAGAAATACCTAACCTATAGGGTGCTTTAAAGCTTGAATTTTAAAAAAAGCATATTATAACTTACAGAATGATCTTATGGACAGATAAAGAGGAATGTGTCGTAATCATAAAGTAATAACTCTTTTACTTATTACTTAAACATACAGACTTAAATATCTAAAAGCTGATCCTCCTCTTCACAGAAGTTACCCTGGGCCTGTGTGCTTACTCTTTTAATGCTACCATTGTGCAAAATATTTTTGGAAGGTCTCCTTCAGACTCCTTCAGAGCCTATAGCACATTCCTTTAAATATCTTCATTGGTGGCAAATCTTGGCCCTTTGTGGGAGATTTGACTTTTGGAGTTGACCCAGTCATTTTTTCAGAGCCAAGTCCAGTGAGTAAAATCAGTGATCAACTAGGGCTATGTTTTTTGATGAAAAGCTTTTTGTGACTGATTATAAAGTAATAAAACTGGTTATCATAGGTGACTTATCAACTGCTTCTGACCATGGTTCTACAGGAAATTCTAGAAAGATTTTACTCAATGGCCACATACATTCTCTGAGATAAAAATATTATACTCATCATATGTTTAATTTCAATTGAAAATATATTTCATATAGTGATAACTGTACAGTGTTTAAAGTGAGGTGGGATTCTCTGGGATATCACCCTAGTTTCTCCCACCGCCTGCAAAAACTGAATAGTTTATTTAAAATATAGCGCTCATAGAAAATCTGAGAAAGAAAATAAAAATTTGACTATGCATGCACACACACACACACCATATTACATATAAAAACATTCCAGATGAACTACAAATCTTCAGTGTAGAATAAAACCTATACACCTGGTTGTTGCCTGCTAAACCCTGTGTGTTTTGATGCCTGCCTCCCTCTCCAACTTGTCTCCTCCTTCCCTTGATGCCTTAACCATATCAACCTTCTTGCTCTTCACATATACCAAGGCCATTCCTACCTGCATTTTCTCCCTGTACTTCCCCTCTAATCATTAGTTATTCCTGAATCAGTTTAAATCTCACCTCCTCAGAGATACCTTTCCTGACCACCCAATCTGGAGTAGCCTGCCTCATGCTACCATGCCACTGTGTTTCCATCTCTGGTGAAATGCCTGTTTTATTTATTCATTCATTTGTTTATCGTCTCTGTCTCCCAACTAGAAAATATCCCCACTAGAATTTAAGGGCAACCTGGCATATAATAAATACTCAACAAATATTAGTTGAATGAATGAGTCCAATAGTGAAAAGCAAAATGATAACAATATTAGAAGAAAATTTAGGAAAATATTTGTATAATCTCAAAGTGGAGGAGACTTTCCTAAGCAAAAATAGAAACCTATAGCCATTAATGGAAAGATTTGGTTACATAAACAATTAAATTTCCATTGGTTTAATATTTTTTTAAATTATCAATTAGAAGAAAATATTTACATCGCATATGAAAAAGGTTAGTATCTCTAATAGTTAAAAATGAGAAAAAGGAAAATAATCCAACAGCAACATTGGTAAAGGGTTTTAACACAAACACCCTACAGAGGAAGTTTCAATAGACAGTTAACATAGGTAAAGAGGCCTTTCATTGCTAGTAGTAAGGGAACTACAAATCAGACAATGACAGATACCAATTTTCACCCATCGTTCACAACATTTAGAAGGAGAAAAAAATATCCAATGCTGATAAGTGTATAGAAAAATGGACATCAATGAACACTGTTCTTGAGAATGTGAATTGCTACAATTTCCTAAAAAGTTAACCATCAATATCTATTAAAACCTAAAATTTGTGTATGTTAGTCTTAGGAATCCCACTTGGGTGACTCCTAAAAAATAAAAATACTGGATGTTTGGAGGGAAAGAAGATTATAATCATGAAGAATTATTTTAAAGTTTGAAGATTTAAAAATATATCCTTTATTTCAAGTGCCACTATGACCCAAAAGACTACATTTCTCAATCTCATTTTCAGGTAAACGTGGCTGTGTGATTAAGTTATGGCCAATGAGCTATAAGTAGAAATAGTTGAGTAGAACTTCTGGAAAATATCTTTAAAGAAGATTGGCTCAGTTAGGAAGAGCGCCATTTTGGTTTGTGTCCTCCACTTTTCTTCCTGCCTGAAACACAGATAAAGTGATCAGAGCATCTCAGCCATTATGGATTATTAACACACCTTGAGATGAGAAGCCATGTCCTAAGGTAAGTGGAGCAGAAAAATAGGAGCCGGGTCCCTAATGGCCCTGAAATACTCTATAAAGGCCCGGGGCCACCCACTTCAAGACTTATTTTACATGATAGAAAAATAAACCCTTAATGTTTAAGCCACTGCATCTAATTCTAATTGATAATATCATGCTATGTTTAAATACAAAAGCTAGTTGCTAAGTAAAAGCAGACGAATATAAACTCAAATGTTTATAGGTGATAGGCCAATAACGTGGAATGGTGGATCAGTGAAGGTACACATAATAGGGGATGAAGAAGACCATGTTAAATGTGAGAGGCCGTGCAGCATCAATAATATTATTATTATACTATGCAGGTGTGTGGATCCACACCTTCTAGTTTTCATGTTAAATTTCCCTAATGTTTACAAACAAAACATTTTCCCGGATATATCCAGACTGCAGGCCATCAGTTTGTGACCTTTGATTTGTAGTGTGATCTAATATTTGGAAAAATACAGAAAAGGGAGGAGTGAAGGAGGGAAGGAAGGAAGGGTGGGCCCTATATGTATATATTTATATGTGGTATAAACAGAGAGATTATATGAAAGGCTGTGCATGAAACAACGGAAACCTAAGAGGGATGAGATTAAAGGGGAAGATTATTAACTTTTCCATTATAAGTATATTTTCTGTCTTACAATGAATATACATCAGTTTGTAATTTGTAAAAATCTTGTAGGCTAGGAGGAAAATTTCCGAGTTAATTTCTGACATTGGACTGGAAGTCCAGTGTCAATGCCACAACACAATCATAGAAAGCTTTTAGGATCATTCAGTCTGAGCAAGTTCAATCTGTCTTAGGGAACCGTTCATTAATTTAAGTATTAATATCTAAAACTAGAAAAAAACAGATGTGAGAGGGGAAACACAAACACATTGTAAGTTGCAGTGACTTTAAGTGTAAATGGACTGCAAGTCATATATAAACCACATGCTTGCTAGTTGGAGAAAAAAATGTTATATAGGGAATGATACGTTGATTGTTTTTAAAAGATAAAAAGAAGTGCATTCTTAATTCTTTGAGATTACAATGTGACCCAATGTATACATTGCATTTGGTTTAACATATGTTGGTTTTTTACTAAAACTTGTTTTAATTTTAGAGCAGCTTAGATTTTTAAATATTCATTGTTCTTTTTTCTAAATCTGTCTCAGGCATTGCCATCCTCTTTAAAACACATGTTTGAAAAATGTTCAAGCTTTTCCTCTTAATCTAAAACAGTATAATTGGTTCCAGTTTGATGAGAAGAAACTGGATTGTGAATACATTTTTACTGACACATCTATTTTCGTCCTTTGGTAAATTTGACAACCTGTGACAGTTCTCACATTTCTGGAACAAGTATCAAATTACAAAAGAAGCTAATCATGGTAATATAATAAATTATTTGACTGGGGTTTTATCCAAAATGAAGTTTATCAAATTTTCTCCTCCTGCTCCCCCCTACTCCAACCTCTGACACCATGTGCCATTGTGGCATTTATGCCTGGGGGATATGATCCTTAAATAGCAGTCAATTACCCTAAATATTGTGTCAGTGGTTTTTTTGTCTTTTTTCCATAGAATAACAATTTTTCAGAAGGACTTATTATAATTCCCCAGTTTAGCAAATGTAGAAACTAGAGTACAGAGAGATAAGTGACTTATTGAAGATTTCACAATCAACTATTGGAGTACTTTTACTTAAATATATCTCTAGAGATTCATAAAAGCTATATTGAAAATTCACACAGTTCTCGTGGATTATAACAAATGTAGTGATGTTACAAAATCTGGCATAATGTCCTACTTACTGCTGAAGAAGTTTTGGTAGTGAATAAAAGAAACCAAACTCAAACCAACTCAACAATAAAAAGCAATGTTTTTCTTTAGAGGGAGTGGAGCTTCAATGTAAATTTTAAGGGGTAAATTGGGTTCAGGCACAGTTGGATGCAAAGACAAAAAATCATCAGAACCTGCCTTCCTCTTTGAGTTTGCTTGTCACTGTGTCACCTTCATTCTCAGGCAGCTTTATTCACACAGTGGCAGAATGGCTTATGTTCTAACCCCAGTGCAGAGAATACATGTACATCTTTCTCAGTGATCCCAACAAAGAAACCGGGAGTAACTCTCATTAGCTGACTTGCATCAGAGTCCTTTCACTGTGACTTCCTTCCAGTTGGCCAAGCCTGGGTCACATGCCCACCCCCACCTCCAGCAGTCCCACCAGAAAGAACTATATCGACAGAAAATGAAGGAGGGGTGGTCAGTCCCAAGGGGAAAAAGCAGTGTTTTTTACCCAAAGAGGTAATGAAGGTAAACAAGCAAAACCAAGTGAAGTATATTAAAAATTCCATTTATGTTGAATTGTGTACCTGTACAACTAAGCTAATTTCTTGCTTAGTGGTTGGGGGTTCATGATATTTTCATTAAAAAGAATTCCTGCAAACACTAAAGAAGAGGAGACTGTAGAAGCAGGAAAAATAGATACACCGAAAAATATTGTTAACTTTGCCCCCCCAAAAGAGATGCATTGCATGTGTGTGTTTATATTGTCAGTTCATAAATGAACAAAAAGGCAAGTGAAGAGTAAAAATGTTGGACATCTGCCAAACATTACATTAAATGTTTAATGATCTCCTCAATCCTGAACTGGGAAAGCTGTCATTATATTTCTGCATAGCCTTTGTTTATTTTGGTTTCTATTTTATTTCAAATGCTGATAAGCTTGTATTAGCTACATTTAATAGTATTCTATTGAAAGTTATATAATTATTCAGATCATAAAGAGTAATGGCCTCATCTACAGCCAATGCCAGTTTTCATCATAGTGTAACTGGAGCTCTGCTCACTCATTTGTCCATTTGTTCATTTGTTATGTGCCAGTTATAAATCAGGAACAAAGTGGAACACTAAGATTAAAGAGATGAGTCATTTGTAGCCCCACGCCTTGAAGTCAAAGTGCAGCAAGGGAAACAGATCAGTAAAACTTAAAGTCCATTATTATAAGAAGGGCATTAGAAGCACTGGAAAACCCATAGCTCACTCTGCTGAGAGATCAGGGAAGGTTTCAAAGAAGGCTTGGGGAATGCTTCCCAGAGAAGAGAAGGAGGTGAGAGCCAACTCTGGAGAGTATAACGCACAATGACACAGAGGCTTGGAAGAACCCTAGGAGTTTCAGAAATGGGTGACAACCGTGGCTGTGGTATGCAGTGTATATAGGGAGAAGAGTCCATGTGATTATTCGTGTGCTAAGTTTGAACTTTATCTTGCAGCTCCAAAACTCTGGTCCCCCCACTAGAACCAGACTGATAGTAAAGAGCCATCTGGAGAACTTGTAAACAATACAGATGGCCCCGGCCCCACTTCTGGAAATTTGGGTTCGGGAGGAATCTGTGTTTTAAAAACAGTTCCCTAAGTGATCCTGGAGCACATCCAAGTCTGAGAACCACTGCGTGTATGAAGTGGGGATCTATCAGGGAGTGCTGGAAGAGAGAAGAACATGTTTTGGAAAGATAGCTCTTTTGCCAGGGAATAGTCGCAGTAGAGCAGGTCAAAGCAGGAGACGGGGAGACCTGATCGGAGACCGTTGTGATAGAACAAATTAAGAACTGGCGAGCAGAGGCAGCGTGGGTGCAGAGGCAGCGAATGTTCACTGGTATTTCTGAGTAATCCACAGGACTACACAATCTGTTTGATGTGGGAAGTGAAGTATGTGTGTGTATGAGGGGTGGAATTCTAGTTTGTGAAGGGCGCCCTTGAGAACTGGGAGTGAGAGGTTAGCAGGAGGCGTGGCTGTGTGTACAGCAGTGCCATGTTAGCTCAAGGTGGGAGACCAGGCTGGACCTTGCCATTGGCAGGAAGCCAAAGCCTGGGACTGGGCCATCCGAGATCCAGGGGCTCAGCTCTGCGAACCCTGAAGATGAAAACTTGCTGATGGCTCCTCACCTGGGGACACCTCCCTACTTCCTGCCACCTGTGGTCCCTGCTTGCAGTTATCTCATAGCCCCTATAATAGCCTCTTTGAAGAAATCTCTAGCTTAATAAACATCCTAAAGCCAAGAATTATGTGAGCCTATGGGTTCTCAGAGTCTAGCCTAGTGCCTGAACATATTTGATGCTTTTGTTGGTAGGTGAATGAATTTTATTAATTACCTAGATAATTACAGCAATAGCAGCCTAATTATATCTGTATAGGCTTTTGGGTGTGTGTGTGTGTGCGCGCGCACACATGTATGTGTTTATATAAACCTGTATTTCTGTAACTCTGCATGCTTCATTTATTACTTTCCAAAATCCACATTTTCATAATGAATACCAATATGCAAAATACACTGCGTTCTTCCAAACATGAATTATTGCAAGATGTCTGTATAATTAGTGAACCAGGCATCTCCTACAGATATTAATCCAGATTCCACTGAAAAGAGCTTGATTAATAAAACATTTTAAAAACTTTAAATCTAGTTAATTAAAGACAGGAATAATTCTCAATTCACTTATCCAAATAAGCATATATGGATTCAGAGAGATTATTTTTAAGTAAAGTGGTATGACCACTTTAAAATATCTATTTATGTTTTTCTCATATGGTACTAAATGGGATAAAATAGAGACTGCCATGAAAGATAAACAAATAATATAAGGACATAAGGTATAAGACTAATTTGAAAGTTACTCTGCTCTTTATGTGTAAGTTTTTGTTCTGTTCATTGATTGTATGATTCCTTTTTAATCCCCATTATCTTTGCCTTCTTCCTTGCAGTCAAGTGTCCTCTGAGTACTAACAGGAACATCCTACTTACAGAGTTTGAAATCAACAGAAAACTTGAATAGTTACAACTTTTCTTTATAATCTACTCCCCTGAGAAAGAGCAATGACAAGTAAGCAAGCTAATATCAGAGATTTAAACATAGAGTTTCCAAGCAGATGTGGGAATTAATTCAGACAACCAAAAAAATGTAAAATGGCTAAGATATTGGCAAAAACT